ACATAAAATACTATATATAAAAATCAAGATCGTATGTGACATAAATTGTTTTTTTAGTTTTTTTCAAAACTATTTTTTATCTATCAATAAATGAAGTTCATAACATTTTCTAAAAAATTACATTTTCTAATATTAGTTGTATAGAAAAAAAATCTAGTGCAAAATTGTCAATGGTGTGTCAAGATGAGTTAAAGTTGGCCTAAACTTACAAAATTATTGTATCAATTATTGATATTTAATATAATACGTTACAAAATATTCATATATAAGGTTTTCTTTCCCTCAAGATGTTTCCTTAGGTTTTAAAAAGTGTATTTATTGGACTATTTTTTTTAATTACAGAGTTAATTTGATTTTACAATATAATAAAAGTAAAGATTCAAAAATAAAAAAAATTTCAAACTATTTTATGTCAATTATTTTAAAGTATAGAAAATTTTTTCGTGTTATCAAAATATTAATATACCAAACATGATAGAAAATTATATAATAACATTATGGCATATCGCCAATACAAAAAAACATCGGAACATCTTATATATTTTTTTAATTAGTTTATTATAGAATAAGTTAATTTTAATATACGATATACTCTTAATATACTTGATCACGAAAAAAGACAAAAAAAAAGTTAAAAATATATATTTTTTAAATATGATAGTTTTTCGAAAATTCTAATTAAAAAAGATTTAAAGAATTTGAAAAGCGATATTGAAATTTTTTTTTATCTATTAGAATATGGTTTTACATATTTTTAATTGATTTATAAAGATAATTTGATGTTAATTAAATGTTTACTTTAAATTAATATATTGATACTATATTTTTATTTTAAGTAATCAATGCAAAAATTCTAAAATCTATAGGGACAATTGTCAAAATTAAGTAAAAATAAGGTATTAAAAATAAAAAAAAATTGTTAACACCAAAAGTGACACGTGGCAGCTTTTCAAAGTTTCACTTCGAAAAAACCTTAAAATATTATATTAAATGGTAGTATATGAATGTTATGATTGTCATCTTTAATAAGTTTTGCATGTTGGCTAGTTGATAAAATTCATTACAATCAAACAGTTTACCTTTTTTTAACGCTTTTTATTGAATTTGATTCAGAACATATTACATCAATGAAGAAGTTCAACATATGCAATACAAAAAAAACTAATGTTCTTTTCCGCACTAGAAATCGTTGACGACACATTGTGATACCAAGATAATTTTGTTTCGAATATACAACACTTGTTTAATTTCAATCTAATCAAATTCAACACATGTAAAATATAAAGAGAAATTTCAAAAAATGCCACTTTTCAAGTGTCACTTTACAAAAATACCATACTTTTGAAATTTTTACAAAAATGCCACTTTTTCAAAATTATTTTTCTTTATATTATTTATATTTGGGTTGATTATGTTCTATTAGAATTTAATTTTAAATGTTTAGGGGTTTTAGGTGTGAAAACATTTTTTAGGGTTTAGAATTTTAAGATATAGGTTTTATAAATCTATAATTAGTGGTATTTTTGTAAATGGACATCCCAAATGGTATACTTGTAAATGTGCACACAAAAAGTGATATTTTCGTAATTGCCTCGAATATAAAACCAAAAATAACAAAATCCAACCGAATTCTAACCAACCCAAATTATATGGTTAGATTCTAGTTATGATTTTATTT